TTTTACCACCCAACTAATCTTCCGGGATGAGTGTAGCCGCTGATTAGCTCTCTTACCAAGTTTTCTAATGGGCCTAAACCGTGGCACCATTTTGACTAATCAAATGAGTGTGGTTATAAATTTCACGGTTGAAGAGAATTGAACCATGTCCTAGATCCATAGAGCACTTTTTCCCAAATGAGAACCAATAGTCCAGTACCACTTGATTATATTTTGTAATGTGTTGATTTTATTCCTTGTACATAGTTGCTATTTATAAACCTTGAATTGTCTGTTCTAGATAACAACATACAGAAGATATTTATATATATTCAATCTGAATGTATGTAAATATAATGTTATCGCATCGAAAAGTAAAAAATACTTTTTTTGGTTTTTATACTTATTTAGCTGACATATACAATGTGTTGTAGATTTATAACATATATTCGACATAAAAAACATATAAATGTAGAGTCAATTAGGTGGAAAACAATAGAAAATATCATATTTAGCAAACTAGCAGTGAGAAAGTATAAACTCAACTAAATAATAAAGAGAAAGAAGGTGTATTACAATTTAATCCTCATATGTAACGTTTTTGGAAATCAATATACAATTTAATAGGTTGTACGTATTTATAATTAGTATCCGACTAACAATTAAAATTACATTTTAACCATTTTATTATTCGGATATATACTTTATTATCCATATTTAATAATATTATCCAGTTTTTTACACAAATTTATCTGATGTATTTACAATTTATCCGGCTAATAATTAAAATTGCTCTTAAATATGTTCAATTATCCGGATACATAATCTATTATCCGGATCCGTCGTTGCTTTCAGTAATCCATCGATGCTTACATCGAATCTGTCGCCGCTTCTACCGCCACACCTCATCGGATCCATCGTTGCTTTTACCCGACTCGTTGTTGTTTTTCTAATCCGTCGCAGTCTCCACTGACTGCCACACACCTGCATATCCGTCGCATCTTCCACTGACCGCCACACGCCATCAGATCTGCAACATCTTTCACTGGCCGCCACACACCATCAGATTTGAAGCTGCCTCCACGGATCTGGCGCTACTTCCACCGGATCTATCGTTGCTTTTACCGACCGTCACGCACCATCAGAACCATCGCCACCGCCGCTTCCACTTGATTCGTCGTTGTCACTGCTTCCACTGATTTATCACTGCTTCTACTAATTCCGTCGCAGCACACCATCAGATCTCTCTGCACCAACATAATTTGTTCACT